TGTAACAAATATTGAAGGTATGGGTCTATCTTGTGTAAAAAAAGCCTGGCTTATCTCTAGGCATTCAAGCCTGGTTTTGTCTGAACTCACATTCCTTCTGTTTTAGAGCCACGATTAAATCATAATGGAACAGACAGTTTTACGCTCGTCTCTTGGGCTGTTGGTAAACCGCTCCTGTAGATTGTAACGGTATCATACAAATTCAAGAAATTGTTTATGTATGATACCAAATGTAAAAGTGAATGATTGCCAACATTTGCAGGCAGTTTTTTTTTTTACTTGGAAGCTTCTTCTACTAGCTTAATCTGCTCTTTTAGCCTCATTAGTCGGAGCGAAAGCTACCTTTAGTGAAAGTTTTGGTTTGAAACTTGAGGAGGGAACATATAATGATGGATTAAAAGTTTTAGTTTCCTTCAGCAAGACGTGAAGTAGCTCCAGAAAACCTCATTCAAACATAAATGAAGAAGCCCATTTGGAACAGACAGTTTTACGCTCGTCTCTTGGGCTGTTGGTAATCCGCTCCTGTAGATTGTAACGGTATCGAACATATTCAAGAAATTGTTTATGTATGATACCAAATGAAAAAGTGAATGATTGCCAACATTTGCAGGCAGTTTTTTTTACTTGGAAGCTTCTTCTACTAGCTTAATCTGCTCTTTTAGCCTCATTAGTCGGAGCGAAAGCTACCTTTAGTGAAAATTTTGGTTTGGAACTTGAGGAGGGAACATATAATGATGGATTAAAACTTTTAGTTTCCTTCAGCACGACGTGAAGTAGCTCCAGAAAACCTCATTCAAACATAAATGAAGAAGCCCATTTGGAACAGACAGTTTTACGCTCGTCTCTTGGGCTGTTGGTAATCCGCTCCTGTAGATTGTAACGGTATCGAACATATTCAAGAAATTGTTTATGTATGATACCAAATGTAAAAGTGAATGATTGCCAACATTTGCAGGCAGTTTTTTTTACTTGGAAGCTTCTTCTACTAGCTTAATCTGCTCTTTTAGCCTCATTAGTCGGAGCGAAAGCTACCTTTAGTGAAAATTTTGGTTTGGAACTTGAGGAGGGAACATATAATGATGGATTAAAACTTTTAGTTTCCTTCAGCACGACGTGAAGTAGCTCCAGAAAACCATATTCAAACATAAATGAAGAAGCCCATTTTTGATAGCTAATTTTTACAACCCATTGATGTAAAAGTTTCAGTGCTACAGATGTAACAAATATTGAAGGTATGGTATATTTTGTTTAAAAAACGCCTGGCTTATCTCTAGGCATTCAAGCCTGGTTTTGTCTGAACTCACATTCCTTCTGTTTTAGAGCCACGATTAAATCATAATGGAACAGACAGTTTTACGCTCGTCTCTTGGGCTGTTGGTAAACCGCTCCTGTAGATTGTAACGGTATCATACATATTCAAGAAATTGTTTATGTATGATACCAAATGTAAAAGTGAATGATTGCCAACATTTGCAGGCAGTTTTTTTTTTATTTGGAAGCTTCTTCAACTAGCTTAATCTGCTCTTTTAGCCTCATTAGTCGGAGCGAAAGCTACCTTTAGTGAAAGTTTTGGTTTGAAACTTGAGGAGGGAACATATAATGATGGATTAAAAGTTTTAGTTTCCTTCAGCAAGACGTGAAGTAGCTCCAGAAAACCTCATTCAAACATAAATGAAGAAGCCCATTTGGAACAGACAGTTTTACGCTCGTCTCTTGGGCTGTTGGTAATCCGCTCCTGTAGATTGTAACGGTATCGAACATATTCAAGAAATTGTTTATGTATGATACCAAATGTAAAAGTGAATGATTGCCAACATTTGCAGGCAGTTTTTTTTACTTGGAAGCTTCTTCTACTAGCTTAATCTGCTCTTTTAGCCTCATTAGTCGGAGCGAAAGCTACCTTTAGTGAAAATTTTGGTTTGGAACTTGAGGAGGGAACATATAATGATGGATTAAAAGTTTTAGTTTCCTTCAGCACGACGTGAAGTAGCTCCAGAAAACCTCATTCAAACATAAAT